GAAATTTGATTCAAATTGCTAATAATTTGGGGTTAAAACATAAATTGTGTTATAAGTTCTTCACCACTTATAGATTTATTTATTAATATATGATGTCAATTGTGACGATACATGATTGATCAAAATTTTATCAACCAACTCAAAAAGCTCTTTTTGCCACCTCACCAATCCGTAAAAGAATATATAAATCGTGATATACAGCAATCATTTTTCAAATTAAAAATAAAACCATAATTTCGTACTTAAACCTAGTTTCATCAGTTAGGCAACTCCTTTAAAATTTATTTCAATTGGGTCATTACTCTTCAATTTAGTTTATAAAGGGTAACCAAACTTTAATTTAATTTCAATTTTCAGTGTTTCATGACTTACAATCTCCAAATTGATGAAATTTGCTTAATTGGAAGCCATATTGCTATTACTATTGGTTTGTCAATTAACTATTACTCCATATTATAAATATGTTTGAAACAAAAAATACAAATTTTAACCTAAAGATATCATAATCACTCATTTTACATATTTTTTTTCTCTAAATGGCCACATAACAATTACATAGGGTCATTAATTATAGGGATAATTGCAACAACTGTCCCAGATATTTCGATTTTTCACAAACTTTACCTTAACCTTCACATTGTCCCACCCACAACCCAAACCTTTGAAAAATTAGCACCTATGTTCTAAATAGTTGAATTTTTGTTAGTTTGATCATTAGTTGACCAAATAAATTTGACTTTGACCAATTTTAAAATGGTAACTTTGAAGTAAAAATAAAAATAAATAAATCAAAATTAACTTTGAAGTAAAAAAAATCAAAATTCAATCAATGCTCATCTTCTCCCTCCGACACCCCATCTCCTCTTAAACCCAAAACCAGTTGGTTCCCTTTTACCCCTCCCCACCACCACCACCTCCGTTGCCCTTCTCCACTGATTTTTACTTTTCTTGCTAATATGTCCTCCCTAGTTCTTTCCTCCTCTTCCTCACACCCCAACCAATCCATTTCTCATATTACTTAGTCTAAGTCAATTTTGCTTTTGCTGAGAAAAAATAAAGCTTTTTGGTTCCTCTCATCCTCTGCTTTCAACCATCGTCCAAAGCCACCGCCATTTCCCTACTTTCAGCCATCGCTCAAAACCATAATCCAAAATCACCACCATTCCCTTGCCTTTCATCCACAGTCGAAATCCACCACCATTCTCCAGCCTTCAGCCGCCCATCAACACATCTCGAAACCCCATCAACATCATCAAAATGACAGTTGAAACTTTGAGAAAAATAGACGTACCTTGGCTAGCTATTGCCACCACAGTAAAAAATTGTAGAAATTTTGAGATTAGATAAAAGAAATTAGTGATAGATTAGGTGAAATTACCTCATCTTTTGCCATTGTTATGTCAAAATCGAAATTGAAAAGTTGCAATTTTCCCTTGATTTGGATTATTGACAACCGCTTTGGGTCTATTGAAGTCCTTTCCACGGGCTTATGATGGCTGGTTGGTTTGGGTGAGAGCACATTTTTTTTTTTTTTATTGGGAGGGGTGGGGTGGGATGGGTGAGTGGGGTTGGTGTGGGCATAGGAAAGATGATGGGCTTTCATTTTAATTTTTAAAATGCAAAGTTACGATTTTACCCATTAAAAATGGTTTAGATTTGGTCAAAGTCAAATTTATTAGGTTAACTAACGGTCAAACTTACATAAAATCATCCATTTGGACCCCAAAGTGCAAATTTTTTTAAGAGTTTGGAATTGTGAGTAGTATAAAGTGAAGGTTAAGATAAAGTATACAAAAAGTCGAAAGGTTTGGAACTGCTACTGCAATTATTCCTTGACTTTTGACTAAGCAATTTTTATCAAATTGGTTACAATTGATGATAAAGTGGTAAAATTTGGAACTCCTTGAATTTACATGAGCCAATGTTTGTGCTCAATTTTTAACTACACATTTAAAAAAAAAAACTATTGCAAGACACATTTTCCCCAAAACTTTATTAAAATGTAGCCAAATCAGAGTTTAATTATCCAATTAAAAGTTCAAAATTGAAAAACAAGAAATTTAACCATAAAGTAGGGAGTTTCTTCCAAACCATCAAAATTTAAGGGTTGAAAACCTTAATTATAGTTAGGATCCCCCCGTCACCTACCCAACATTTTCCATTCCGCCGACCACAACATTCAATCCACGTACCCCACCACCGTCTCCTCGTAAACTCCGTCTTTTCAAATCTCTCCCACACCCCTTATATGCACCATTCTCCATGCTGGTATTTTGCACCACCACCATCACCGATGAACAGACCCACCACCCGCCACCGGCCCGCTCTTAAAAATAAGCCAAAACCACTGTCCATAAAGAGTCATTCTCCTAACGGCGTCGTCACAAAGCACAAACATTCTTCAGATATGAAGAAATCATCATGTTCCTCTGCTAAAAACTTTTGTTCTTGCCTTGGTAATGCACATTTCTTGAAATGGAGGGCCGGTGACATATGTGGTGTGGTGGTGCACCACCCCGTACCCTGCGTCTTCGCCGCCTCGTTGCTGTTCTTCATGGCTGTCGAGTACACTCTCCGCATGGTCCCGCCCACCGCGCCGCCGTTTGATCTCGGGTTTATTGTCACCAAAAACCTCCACCGGTTACTTGAATCTCGACCCACTCTCAACACGATTCTGGCTGGCCTTAATACGGTATATGTGTAAACATACTCATCTTAGTTTATGTTTGGTAAAATTCTTTGTAGATTATAAGTTGCGGATGATAAAATCTGTAGATCTTAGATCATATGTTCCTAAAAATAATCACGAATGATCAACTTATAAACCAGATAAATCTTTAACAAACATACTCTAGTAATATTAGACTCAACCGATAGAATACACGTATGCCTACGACTCCGTAACATGCAATGAAAATTTAACTTCTTGTTTTTGGATCTAACTTTGATTTTAACTTGCAAGCCTACATTTTCTTCTACTTATTCGGTGAGTAATTAATGGCATTTATTAAAAGTCAAAGCATGTTAGATTTTGATATG